TTGTCCAAATTTAGTCTCAAATTCCATGATTAGTTCATTTGGAGCCATTTGATTTCTTGGCCTTTATTCAATCTACTCCAAAAAGATTTTTTTTTTCATTCTTTTGAAATCTTCCTCAAAAAATTCATCTTTCAAGAGTTCTTCAAATTTCTTCCCTCACATAGCCTTAGTATGCAACTCCTGCATCTTTTTTCTAATTTTTGGTATCATTGCCAAATCAAAGATGGTAATCATCTTCAATTCTAAAACTTGATGCACATATGCACATATATGTGTAAATCCTTAGGAACTTAGTGATGTCACTCTCATCAAACCTTCCAATCTTATCCATCACTACTTGTAAAGCTTAGGTGGTGTTTCTATCCTTTCAATGCACTTATTGCCTCTCTTTTATAAATTGAGCAAATACCTTGAATAAATCATAGGCACCTATTCTACTTCGTAAAGAAAACCTTGGGATTTGATTTTCCATCTTGACTTGTTGAAAAATTTGGTGCCTTGAGGCTCTTTCAATGGAAGCACCAATAAAGTTTGGGTAGAGAGAATTTGTGTCAAAAAAGCGTTGGGCTTTTGGCTATCACTAATTACTCAATCAAGTCTTGAGATAAAAAAACATCAAGTTATCTTTCTATATATATATATATATATATATATATAAAAGTATTCCTATAGAGGTAATAACATCAATACATAAGTTCTAAGTACTAAAGAACATCCAAAATATGATAAAAATATTCTAAATCCTTATATATTCATGAGGTGAATTTTATCAAAACTTCAATAGATCATATCTCATAATCGGAGTATCCAAACAAACTAAAAATTTACATGAAGTATTGATGTATTTTAAAAAAATACTACAACAAATTTTAATTGCAAATTTCTTAAAAATCTTGAGATATTGCTTAAATACTAACAATAGCTTTATAGCCTTGCTTGAATATATCCATATGTAATTTTTTTTATATCTCACAAACTAAATATTCAAATATCATAAAATAATTTATTTATAATTTTTCAACCTAATAACACATATCTTTAGAAATTTTGAGCCAAAACTTTGTTCAAAAACTCAAGGTGTAGTTCCAACTATTAATATCAATAAAATGATTCACGTTCTGCCTTTGAATTACATGTATTGTCTTCAATGCTTTATAACTCCTTTATACAAACTCCAAATATAACAATTCTTTTGTAAAGACATAAATTTTGAAATCAGCCTTGTGATTGCACTCTTGATCTTCAAAATCTATTATATAACTCCTTGTATTTTTAAAAGAACAACAATATGTCTAAAAAAGACACATTAACTTCAAATGGCTACAACTTCATCACCTTAATTCCAAACCTTCTAAACTTTATGCAATCCTTGCTTCTAATTCTCAAATGTTCTTTTTGAAGTTGCCAAAATCCTTATTATGGTTGCAGATAGCCTCTTGAGAGCCTATAGGGCATGGCTTTCAATCAATAGAGATGAAGATCCTCATTCCTTATCTTCATCCATCCATACTTTGCTTTCATCCTTCCAAATAAGCTTCTTAGAGGTTTGTATCTTCATCTTTGAGTTCCAATCTTTTCTTTAAATTTTGTATTAAATATTTAAATCTTATATAATTTAGATACTACAATCAAAATAAGTAAACCTCAAAATAAATTTTCTTTCATCAACTCTCTTTAAATTAACCTATTAATCACTCTAATACACATCAATACTTATAAATATATCATGTGTTTTAGTCAATTTTTACATACTATGAATAATTACAATACAACAACATTGAGGCCTACTTATGCAATTTTCGAATAAAAATTTAAAAAGTCGATTGTCATTCTTTAAAGCAAAATCAATTACTTGACTCAATGTTTGAGGATTAAGTAAATTGACCATCAATTTCTTTACCTCATATTATAATCCATAAAGAAATTGGCTAATGAGTGTAGTATCATTCCACTTGATATCAATCACAAGTTGTCAAAATTGTGAAATATACAATATTATAGATTGATTAACTCCCTCAAATATACTAGAATTTGTACCATTGCACTATTCATTTTGACAAGCTCTATTATAATAACACTTAGAAGAAAAGAGATGTCTAATATTGCTAAAGTTAAGTAAAAGAAAGAACTTGAGAACAAAAAGAATAATATCAAATTTAAAAGAGGATAATCCACAACATCTAATATGCTTATGTCTTATCAAGAAAAAAAGATAATCCATTCTTAATCAAGAAAAGACAAAGCTTTGATATTGTAAGTGTATTCTTGTCAATCTCTCAAAGATAAGAACTCAAAGAAAACAAATATACAAGTGAGACTTTTTCAAAGAAGTATAACAAATATATATATATAAAAAAAAATATGTATATTAAAAAGAAACTAGAATTACTATTGCCAAAATACAAGAGAACTAGAGACTTCTTAAAACTAAACTAGAAGCAAGAAAGGAATTGACAAGAATGAAGAAGGCTTCATACTTACCTCTATATATATTATCTATCTAGGAGCTACATGGCAACATTCCATAAGACCTCCAAAACGTGTTGACTTTGCACAACACGTATCTTGACTTATAAGGCAAGTTTTTAATATGGGTGCCATATAGTTAGCTTTTTTCGCAAGCTACCAACATGTGTGGCACATGCTTAACTTGCTGACCAAGTATCTAACCTACCAATCAACAACAAATACATGTAAAGTCAAAGCAACATCTATAAAGCTTCTAGGAAGCTTCTTTAAAAGTTATTATGAAATTAATCTACTTTTATCTACTTTTACCTATTCATATTACTTGAATAACAATTACAATAAATATATGTCCGTGACAAGTTGACAATTACAAAATCAACTAATAGTGAAAACTAAGTAGATAGAATTCTCTACCATCATATTTGTAAAAGTATACTTAGAAAAAAAAAAATCAAATTATATTATATTAACACCAATATACAACCAACAAAAGTTCTTACTAAACCATTAAAAAGAGTGAAATTTGAAACATATAGATAAGCCTTGAGACTTAAAAGCCTAATTACATTGTGCAATAGAATAAGAATGGTTGTCATTTCTTACTTCTTTGCTTAGTAACCATGTGGTGATAACAAAGACCATCTTACATATATGGAGGTTGGCTAACCTTTATTTAAAAATAATTGGTCAAATGATTGCTACTTTTTTCATTTAACCAACTTAAATAAATTTATCCATATCTCTAATTTCTTCACCAAACTACTATTGAAAATGTAGCTAATGAATTAGATATTTTCGAAACATATATAAAATCTTATAGATGTAATAAACTTTGGAGTAAAAATTTTATTCTTTTAAATCGATGTTTAATAATTTGATATTCATAGTAACATGATTTAGTAGTAACACCTTTTAATCCATGTCCAATACAAGTCCTTAAACATTTACATTAAAACTATACTTACAAGATGACATTATTAAACTAAAAAAATATGCATGTAAGATAATTCCAATTAGAATCTATAAATTTCTTATTATAATTTTTTAAAAACAAAGTACCAAAATATTATTATTTTAATATCCTCTAAGTTAAATCCATATATTAAGTAGAAACAATTATTCTAATAAATAATGATAAAAATTAGACATCTTGCAATAAAATTTCTTTTTAAAAATAGATACATAACATGAAAAATATCCCATAAATAGCTAACACCATCAAAACATTTGACCAAATATGCACTTTTAGATGTGTCAAGACAAAAAGAAATATTTGCAAGATTTTGGAGTATCTAAACTAATGTTTGTCCTCTTTGCACTATGAGTAGGATTTCTTTTATTTTGTTTAGTGAAAAGATACATTGCAATTTGTTTTCATAATAAAAACTATACTAATGAAATAGTGCTAAAAAATAACAAGATTAAAAAAACATAACCCTTCTTACAACCTTAAATCCTTCTAATTAGACTACCTCAAAGTTGTGCCATTTAGCACAAAAACCATTCTTTTAAATCTACTTAACCCTCCAATTTCCAATGAGCTTCATGTGCATACACAAGCATGCTTTCTTTCTTTCTTTCTTGAAGAAAACTTATCTGAACAAACGTTAATACTCTACTTGTTGATGAAAGTGGAACTTTGACCACATACAGGCTTGGTGATGTACTTTGTATATCTCCTCACAGTTAGTCTGGTGCAATCCAACCATGCACATAGAATATGAATGGGGACATGCTTCCAGCCACTCGGGTGTGCAGAAAACTTGACAAGCGAGATTCAAGCAACGGCGACTACGACGCCGATCACGCAATACAAAGCATTGTTAGTATGTGATAAACCAGAGAAAGAGATCGAGTATGTGCACACAAAAACACACAGATCCACAGGTATTGTCTACGGCGCCACCACCATCCGTCAAAGCTACCATCTCGTCGAGGAAGAATGGTATTTCTAAAACTAGCAATACAACCGCTGATGGAAACAACCGAAAGCTATGTCATTGGAGAGGGCGCACGAGTTCATGGAATACACAGTGAGAAGAGATAAAGAAATAAAATAATATAAAATACAAGTGTGCATCAGCAAGACATGGCCGAAATCTAACAACTGTCTGCACATGCTGTGGTGGGTTGTATCCACGCGCTGGAGGAAGTAACTTTCCTACATGCACAGAAAAACATTTTCAGATTAGAAAGCTCTTCTGTTCTAGCTAATCTCTAGTACCAAGCTCAGACGTGTAGCCGACGAAGCCAATAGCAGCTGGGTATGCTAGTCACTGATTCTGAAGCGGCCGGTGTGTCGATTGCGATGTATCTCAGTTCGGCGAAGGCCTGTGTCTGGAACATGGGAAGAGGGTCTTCTTGCACTCGTCAATCTCTCACAGCAACTGGGCAGGGTTGTATCCGAACGTGGAAAACGCAGCAACCGTTGTTGAACCAAAGGATGGTATTTTTCTCCGAGAAAAACGCCGTGGCTTATCTGGTGTAGACGATCCCTAATCCGGACATGACCGCCGCTGTGCAGGTGTTGGGGAACCACAATGCGCAAGAGATGCGAGAGATGGAGGAGTGCAAGAAGTACGACTGCGAAGCTACATGCTTCATCGAGCAATGAAGTCTGGGTTTTCTCCAACTTCCGCATACACACACTTTTCTCGACGACATCCGTTTCAAGGTACGCATCGGGAAACTGACGATTCTCTGCACTGGTGTTCAGACTCTCCGGACAACCGGCGTCATGTTTTGAGCTCTTATTCGATAAGGTGCTGTTGAAGTCCAGAATAATGGGGTCTGGATTATCCTCTGGACGGCTCCGCTTCTGGTCGAAAAAATTTCATCCCAAAAAAGGACTTATCTGTTGACTGAAAATGTTTAATTGTGGTGAGGATTGCATGCAGCGACGTCGTAAAGATAGGGTGACAAGGAGCGTTCCAGAGCTCAGCTCGGGGCATGCCCCGGCACTCCCTAGCATATAAACATACCGGGTGGAATTTGTACCCACCAGGTCTTGCTCGGTGTCCCCTGTGCCCAAGCTGTTGGCTGCATTGCCCTTGCGATTCGAGTGTGGAGAGATTTTAGCAATGGCCTCCGCTGTGGCTTCAACCGTTGTGGCTCCTGTCTCTGTGACTGTGGCGTCATCATCTGTGGCCGCCTCTCGCGAGTCTTCCTCCGTCAAGGCTTTTTCTGGACTGAAGTCAGCGACCCTTTTCACTTCAAAATCCCAGCAATTGAGCTCCGTCCAGAACGGCAGCCGCGTGCAATGCATGCAAGTGAGTCTCTGTCGTCCCTTAATCGAACATATTCGGGGTCGTACTAGTCGATTTCCACGAGATGAGACCTGATGATTAGACATCCGGAAATTTTAAGAGTTGTACGATTTTGTGATTGCGCAGGTGTGGAACCCCATCGGGCAGCCCAAGTTCGAGACCTTCTCGTACCTGCCCCCGCTGAGCGATGACCAGATCGCGAGGCAGGTGGATTACATGATCCAGCAGAACTTGATTCCCTGCATCGAGTTCGACACGGTAAGTCGGTGTTCTTCCCGGCGTCCCACGAGTAGACAGTAGTATTGTCGAAGGCAGAGGCATTGGTATGTGGTCGTCCGGAGTGGGTTCCGCGGGCATCGAGGTCACGGTGCAAATGTGGTCTGATGACGCGCTGGGGTGACTTGTCCAGGTCGGAGCCGTGAGCCGCACCAACTTCTCGGGGTCGGGCTCGTCGGGCTACTACGACGGGCGGTACTGGACCATGTGGAAGTTGCCCATGTTCGGGTGCACCGACTCTTCGCAGGTGCTGCGGGAGATCCAGGAGTGCAAGACGTCGTACCCTAGCTGCTGGGTCCGCGTGCTGGGCTTCGACAGCAAGAAGCAGGTGCAGATCTGCGGGTTCTTGGTCGCCAGGCCCAACTAGGGAACGAATTTGTCGAGCTCTCTGGTTCTGGGTCGGGTAGCAGTAGCTTTGATGGTGAGGCACTGACAGTCAGTCGCTCACACGGCAAAGCAGCCTGGATGTGCTTCGCAACGAATTCTTGTATTTGAGTATGTGAGTTCACTTTGAACATCCCAGAAGTAAAAGAGTGGAATGAATGCTTTTTGAGATGGTATTGCAACCATTGATACGGACTTTATGTGGGACATTTCAAACACGAAGAATATGAGAAATTTTTTACTTAACAGATCTTCAGAAAAAGCCTATCTAATGTGTCTCTAAAGATATCCTAGTGTTCGGTGTAGCTCTTAAAAGTGGCCGAAGCAAATGGTTGACCTTCAGCAACATATGAATATTATAAGTACCATGAGGTATTCTTACTAGTAGTTGGTGCCTTTATCTCGCGCAGATAATGCGATGACCTTTGTCAACACACTATTTAGGATAGTGCTTTATAAATAACAACAGTTAGATATGTTGATATATGAAGATGGAGCTTTCTTCTTTTGTTATCTTCTGTTGGTGAACTATCTCATGTAACCACTGCAGTTGAACAGATAGGGGAGAATTTTCATGACTTTAAAAGAAAATACGAAGTGAACAATTATATTAACGGATGGCTGTCATCTTACACATGTCACAACATCCGGTCCACACCAATAGAAACTGACCTACACTTATCTACCACCGTAACCATAATGGAACAATGTATTAAAAGCCATGAAACTTCGATCAAGATAAATATTAGAGCAGATAAATTTTAAAAGCAAACGCTCACAAAGAAATAACGTAGTACAAGATTGTTGCTTTTCAATAAGAGTCCAGTACATAGACTAAAAGACGCATGATGCCGTTTCAGCGATGATGGAAACAAATAAAGCTCTATGCGCACTGAAACAAGATGTCGAATCCTCTTTCTAGATATTCTGTAGTGTCACAGGAAAATTCTGCTGGCCCGCTCCTATCAGAACTAAATCCATCTCCAACACCAAATTCAACAAAATAACGAGGGAGTGTCAACACGTTCTGGGCGCACCACAACATCAAAATCTGATCCTCACTCTAAAAAATGCCCAAATCTGGACATAGCGAGTGGCTTATCGTCTCCATCCAGCATCGTGTACAGATAAGGAACCCTCTGAACCTACTGGTATCAAGCTGAGAGTTCTCAAAATTTGACCCACAGCGACAGAGAAAGTGATAAAGATTTTACATGAGAGAAATCTAACACATGGTTGAGACCCATGCCACACACTGATCATCACCTTACTTTGGGCCTTTTATTCGGCTGACCCCGTTTCGCATCCCTGGGATCAGGCATCCTGCCTTTCCCGGCAGCCTTCTTCCGATTCCGATGACGCTCATCCTCGCTGTCCTCTTCGTCTCCTTTCATTTTATCATCCCTTTTCGCGGCTTCTTCTAGTTGGTCCCAAGTCAAACCTTCTTCCTCTTCGCTGTCCTCTTCTTCCTCGGCCTAAAATAATACAATGCCAAGTACGCCATTCATCAAACAACACGCGACACAGTACCAAAACAGAAACGCCTTCAATCAGAAACTCGAACACCATTCAAACCAAGTATCTATACAAGGACGTACCTCATCGTCATCGGACTCAACAACTGATTCATCATCAGAGTCGTCATCTTCCGACTCAGACACAACTTCCACGTCAGATGGTTCATATCCTTCATCTGACTCTTCCGACTTGTCGGACTCAGAATCGCTAGCCTCCATGTTCAGGAACTCCCACCCACCGTCCTCAATGAACTTGTCAGGGTCCTATCACGTCAAAAAACCACAAAATTGCAATCAGCACCATATTACAGTGTCCTCATCTACTTCCGAACACATCTAATATATTCAAGTATGATCAGCAGACATACATATGTGCAACAGTGTGAACAGACAATGAACACACGTAAATGCCCAATAATGAATCTCCATATAAACTGAGTTTCTGTTCTCACTGCAAGCCTTATCTGACGTATCCTTCTTGCTGAAAGAGCATCTTGCAGAGACAAGTACAAGAAAAACCAGTCTGCTGCATATGTTCAACAATATGCTAAGAAGGCTGACATCTACAAAAGAACAAAATCATCAACTAACCTCCAGTATCGTCTTCAGGATTGGTCGCCAGTTCAGATTCATCCTGCTCTCGTAATATTTGATGTTCATCGAGTTGAGCCATTCCTTGATTCCGTCCAGCGATGTTGAAGGAATGGCATCAATTCGCAAAACTTCTCGCTTGAAATCCTTGAACACTATCGCCATATCAAATGCTTTTTGCCCTAAACCCACTCTTTCCAGGTTCACAATCTCGATGTCATTCAGGCTCACAACCAGAAACGGGGTCTCTATTAGCTCAACCAAACAGTTCACCGTTGGCACGATGAAAGCAGATGACTTATTAGGCACTCCGTGGAACCCAAGCTCTCTGAAAGGAATGTCAAATTCTAGGTCTAGCTCCCGCCATGGTGGCTGGTCCCACAGTTCTGCCATTCGCTTCACAAACGCTTCGAACTCTTTGTTAATCTTGTTGCGCCTATCTCGCTCCTGTTGTTCTTCCTCAATTTCATCTGGGTCCATCATTGACCGCCTGCTGCCCCCTAGCGTCTGTACAACTTCCATCACCTATAAACAATACCATCCACGCATCAGCAAACCTCACACCTTCGAAACATAAGCTAGAAACATCACTGCATACAAGTAAAATCCAGGAACAACACAGAGCTAAAACTGAGAGATATTTACTTCACTGCATTGGGTGCAAAACAAAAATACGCAATATAATGCACAAATAGCGGGAAAAAAAAAGGATTAGCAAGTACGAGCTCTCATGCACGTTGCAAGAGGACTGCCACCGCCTCCATCCTATCTCTCGCTCAAGCATAAAATGACTTCGTCATGAAGTGACATTGACGGACATACCTCGACATAGAATTGCACGTCTTTCGTCTTCTTGGTTCCGACCATAATATAATTATGTAAGTGGAAGTGAACAAGAGTAATCATTTCCTTCTCTGCTGGCTGAAAGAAGGCATGTTTAATGTTTCGGTACATGATGTCCACTTTCTCTTCCTGCCGCATGGTTGAGTACCGGAATCCATTTGTATGTGCCTCCAATGTACCGCTCATTTTCCGCCCTCTACCCCCAAACGCTGGCCGAATCCAGAGATCTGATAACCTGGGAAAACCCATGCGAATCGGTTGCACTAAACAAAGTGTGGAAAAATGTACCAAGAGCCACGAAAGTCTCAATAACGACCCTTCTCGACCAACGGCTAGGTGACATACTCATGCTAGAAAAGATACAGCCCCTTCCATAATTTGACAAACCGCACTGCTTAGAAAGGACAGCAAGTGGATTACAAAACTTGCTTCCATAGACAGCCAACAGCACATGGACATGCATTTCGCCTATACAAGAGCCCAGCAGAGAACTAGGACTTCCACGGTAAGAAACTTCCGCACCAAGGGAAGAAAGTTCAAAGGAGAACTTCGAGTCAGCACAGATGACTCCACCTTCAGCTTTGAAGTCATCTGCGCTAAGTGACAAAAATCATTAGCTCAGAGAAATAATGACATTGACAAGGGTCCCATGTCCAAAATACCTGATGGGTCTACCTTTCCCGATCTGCAACCTCTCTTGAGTCACCAATGTGGCTCTTTCCGCACGTTCCGACTCCCGTTGAGCCACTTGTCGCCGAAGAGTCTTTATCAGCTGCACAACTTGGTACGAATGCCGTGTATCGTTTGACCTGAATGAAACCTCTTTCACATATATCGACCTGGGGAATTTTTGAGTGGGTACATCATTCGGCCCAAAACCTGCTCCTGGGACATTAAATATGATTCTGATGTACGAATGCCCGCCATCCTGTTGACTTGAAACACTCTTAACCGTGGCTATGTGGAAAGGTACCAGCAAACCATAGACAGGTAACAATACCGCTTCATTTTTTTGATCCACCTGCAGAAGAAAAGCACCCATGCCATAATTCAATCTCGGATAGGAAAACCGAAAGATATTTCTTGACAGTCTACCACATTGTCCTACCTCTTCACCACGCACAAGAAGTTTCGCATCGAGCTCCGCAGATATATCTGCTGAATCGGATTCCAACTCTGTTGCCGTCTAATCATCGAGAAACATAAACCGTACATGAATAAAATGGTCCTATTTAAGCCAATACTACTTACGTGAATCTTCAACTCTCGAGCAGGAATGTCATCCACATTTCTGTATGCTATGATGTCTCCTGTCGTCTTGTTTGGCCCCTGACCATCTCCAGATCCCAAGCCTCCAGACGCTAACCTCCTGGCTGTCTCTTCGTTCTTCTGTCTTGCTAATTCAGCTTGGTGCTGCCGTCGTTGCTGTTGCACATTAATAACGTCCAGTAAACAGCTTGATGGGTATTACGTCAAATTATAGCAAGAAAACAAGAGAACACCAAACCAAAAAATAAAAACACCCAATTACATACACACAAACTCAAAGGATTGAATGACCATAGTTAAATAGAAAATAAAAAAGCACGCAGTCTGGTAGAAGATAAAGTAAGCAAGACAAACACAGTTTTAAAGATATGAATTAAACATGATAAACGAATACCGTTCACACTTATAAACACATCGACAGTTAACAGATTAACACGCAAATAAGGGCATTCACCAATCATGACTCATCCACCGCTGAGAGAAGATCAGAGCAAGAAAAACACCTCCTCTTTGGTCATCTCCTGATTGTCGGATCGCAGAGTCGCCATTCGAACGGCAGGTTCATTGGACCCATTACTCTCTGATTTCACTTTAGGTTTCGCCTCCACTTTCACCTCTTCGTCTTCCTCGTCGTCTTTAAACGAGTACGCTATGTCAGTATACGTCTTGGAACATTTCAGTGTTGGCACCTCAGGTGGGCCTTTCTCCACAACGATCGCTGTGTCCGCCAGAAGAAGGGAAAACGTTTTGGATTTTGGATTGCTCGACTCTGTAGTCAGATTGTGAAAGCCAAGCGACACATTGAACGCCATCCCAGGGCGAATCACACGCTCGTTCTTGGCGTTCAGGGTCAAACCCGACTCCCGAAACTCGATGCCTATTCCAGTTCCTGCGTTCTTCGTAAAGTAGGGTAAAAACTCTGGCCCTCCAGACTCCACCACAGCGTAAGCAGCCTTGTACGCAACTGACATGGCGTTCCCTGGTCTAAGTGCAGCTATGGCTGCTTCATGAGCTTTCAAAAGAATCTTGTACGCTTTCTCCTGCGTTTTGTCTGCATCTATCATGATCGACCTTGCAACGTTCGAACAGTACGACCTGAACCGTGCACCAATCGCACACAATATCACACCAAGCGTATCATAATACAGAGGTTCCTCGTTGCTCACTGCACTCGGCTTCAGATCGAACACTCCGCCACTTTGAAAAACAGGAGGATAGCAGATGTCCACATCCTCTGCCTTCAATTTAACGTATTTACCAGGATTCGTAATCACGTTTTCAGTTTGCTCCATCAGCTCAAAGTGAGTCACTTTTTTCTCTTCGTCGATGATCACTTCCAGTTTCGGCACCACGAAGCTTTTTAAGATAGCCGCACTCAAATGAGATGCATTTTTGATGTTGGAAATCTCTTCCTGCGACACATCCACCTCAAATCAATGCTAGAGGCAATTCACCCAAAGAGAGACCCGGGTGTTCCGTTGCAGTTAACAAATTCATTCCAAATGCCTTAGAAATCACTTAATTCTTCCTAACATAGAAAAAACAATGAAAGTTTCAAACATTCGAAAAGACAAGATCGTGACAAACAAGCATGGCTTGTCTCAGCTCCACATGCAGACAGCACCCGTGATGAAAAAGGCGTGCATAGCACTGTCAACACCACGAACCTAAAACCTGCTTATATATTTTTTTCTTTTTCTTTTCTATCTGCTCAGAATCCCGTAAAACCTTAACCTAAATGTAATAGCGTCCTAGAGCAACCTCCCGTACCTCATCCTTAACAGCAAAAATCTCCGAAAATCCACCAGAAACGTCTACAGTGGCAGCACCTGAGGCTTCCAGACACTCGGCCCACTTCTCCATGACCGAGCCCTCCGTGGCCTCACGCGAAAGAACCCCAACGGTGGGTGTCTTCCCCTTGCTAAAACCTTTCACCGCGTCCAAAACGCTATTCATCTGCACACTGCCGTCCTGTTTGCGCTCCTTCATATGAATATGAATATCCACACCTGTTAGCATCTTCGACGATTTCTGCAATTCCTCAAGATGTGCGGCTTTCTTGGAGCTGCACACGAAGTGCAACGCGCCAGGCATGAACACCATCACAGTCTCGGGGAACTCGTACCCTAACAACCAGATATGCAATGCGGTGGACTTGAGGTAGCGCAAGTCCTCAGACGCGGGCGGGGTGACCACGGCGATGGCGTCCGCACCTCCCCACATCTCTTTCTTGTGCTCCTTCCATTTGTTGTTCAGCAGCTTCAACCTCTTGCCATAGAGCTCCAAGTTGATTTGCACCCTACCGCCCTTCCCGTCCCCGTTTCGCTCCGCCATAGCTACAACCAATGCCACAAACCCCCAAAACCCTAATCCTCGCAAAAACTCACAAACCTATCGAAAAAAATATATTCACGTAATAAAAAGAAGACAGAAGAAAAAAAACACTCCGAAGAAACGAAACAATCGGCAGCAGGTCCCGCACAGGCCAAGTAAAGGAGAAGCGGTGAGGGCCAACAGCGCCAGCGGGCTGTTCAAAGCCCTTGGGCCATGGTATTGGCACAAGCGTGAGTTGGGTTGAACGTCAAGCCCCGCGGCAGAGTGCGCACTTCCCCTAAGAACCAGAAAAAAAAATGTCAGTGGAGCCTCGCTCCTTATTTCAATAAAGCCCCTCCCCCTCCCTCTCGCTCCCTCTCGCTCCAGTTGGACCACTGCTCCCTTTTCCTTTTCCTTTGTTTGCCTTTTGCCTTCTCTTGCCCTTGCTTCAGTTCGCCTTCGTGTTCTCGTCCCCATCATTTTCGTCCACAGATCCCACTCCATCGGACGCACGGCATTAAAGATTCTATTCCTTATTCAGTCCCTTGCATAAGCATGAATTTCTCTCTCTCTCTCTCTCTCTCTCTCTCTCTATATATATAAGCATACATATATTGATAAATTTAATTGCTTTCAAGTTTGAGTGATTGAAGCATTTTGACATTTGTGTAGTTGTGAAAGATACTTATTAGTATTGTGGAGCACTTTGAAAGTAGAGGAGGTAAAAAAATTAATAATGATTGATATTTTGATCAAAAAGTAAATAAAACACCTCCTATTAAAACATGGATTCAAACAAATATTATCTCAAAGTGATTTGCAGAAAGGTCGAGTTTCTTATTTAATTTTTTTTTTTCAACTCCTGATGTAAAATAGAAAATTTGATAAAAATTAATAAAAATAAACATGGTTGGATTTAAGTTGTGACAAGAAATAGCAGATGTGGTAAACAAAGTGATTGGTGCTATAGATGTGGCAAAATTTGACATTTTTATGCAAGTTATTTTGAAACAAAAAAATAGTAAAAACTGACATGGCCTTTCTTTAGCAAAGGGATTGCAACAAGAAACAATTGTGGTCATAGGTAATTGCTTCAAATTGAGGATTGATCATTTTCATTTAATGTTTAGAAAACATAAATTATATTAAAATGAAAATAAAACCCAACTGTGCATACAGTTGACAATGTGGTCCTTTGTAAATTTTGAGGTTTAAAAAAAGTAATTCTGCTTGTAAAAAAGAAAATTTAACTCACTGCTGTTTACTTTTCTTAAAGAAAAACATATTACACTATAACATCAAAATTAGTAACGTTGATGAAAGTAAAGAATTTGAAATTCAAAAATAAATAAATAACTCACTAAATAAATATTACCTTCTTATTATATTATATGTTGGACAAAGGTAATAGAAGGATAAGCTTTGAAGAGCTACAATTCTTCTTAAGCATATTTTTAATTATGCTTTCATCATACAAAGGTACTTTGATGAATGGCTTTCCTTGCTAATTTTTGCTAGAAAATGAAATGGCTTATGAAATCAAAGGATTGCCATCCACATCTTTAAAAGATATCATATTAATTGGGGTCATATATATATATATATATATATATACAAATAAGACTTAATTAAATAACTAATGTACAATAAGCTATGAAAGCCAAACAAGTCACTAAATGCAATACATAATTAAATTTATACAAGAAAGATATAAATATGTAAGTCTAAAATCCTAAAAATTAAGACCAAGAACTTGTATCCATTCTAAAAACTCAACCATATTTTTTATAGTATGGTAGGTGTAAGTTACATCAATTAAAGTTTCAATATTATCAAATCTATGTCAAAACCAAAAATGTTAAAGTTTTAAAACCTTTTACATTATCCAGATGCTATATCTTAGTTTTAATATCCTTTTAAAGTGCAGAATACTTCCAGAATATTAAATTTTCTTAATGTAATATTCTTGCAAAAAATAAATAACTTTTTGTGTTTCATACCAAAAATATTTAGCATATTCCAAAAGATAAAAATATAACAAAACAAAATTTAAAATAGTCTTCAAGATAATACAAATAATGAACTTTAAAAAAATAGTAATTAAAATGAACTGGCACGTTTAAAGATTGAATAGATTATTATTATTATTTACTTGAGTATAATTATCTAACCACTTTCTAATTTATTAATAAATAAATGCACATAATTTTTATTTTTTTTTTGTAAAAAAGAGATATTTAAAAAATTAAAAGTCATCATTTTTAAAATTAAAGTATCTAATAAATGCATGTTCCACCCTAGAATCTGCCGTCATATTCAAATTACAATTTCCATGTCCTTCGGAGTTTTCCAGAACTTGCTTGGACTTGCTTGGAATGCAGCAAGCACAACAGCAATTTAGGGTTTCCGTGCATTCGCTCTCCGATCACAAGCTTCCATCACTTTCACTGAATTCAATGCCGATGCGTCAGGGTTTGAACCTGTTCATGGATTGTTGAAGACCTGATCACGAGTCTGGAGCCCCCTTGGGCACGAGGGAAACGAAATGTGGAATCGAATGAGCTATTGGATGTGAAATTTGGTTAGCGCTTCTCTTACATCTGTTAAAATTATACTGTTATTGCGTTTAGGCTTGATTTCGAACAACGAGTCCCATGAGGTTCTTGTTTGTTTAAGACTCCGATATGCTGTGATATTGCACCTCCGTCGCTGCAAATGTGTGCGCGAATCTCCACATTGCTTTACGCATCATTGATATTGCATGTTCACTCTGTTCTTTTAGCATAATTCCATCCCCCTGGCCTGCTTTGGAAAACGTCAGATGTTTCTGGTAAACCGAATCCGATCACTAGTTGCGGTAGGTTCCTGACTGGTCATCGAAGCCAGAATCACTCATTGCTATTCGATTTGTTAGCTGTAGTGCAGGTAAATCAGATTGTCATTTGTGGTGAGTCATAAAGTGGATAATTGCAGGCAGGGCATATCCGTTTGTCAAATTATTACTTCGGTTGTTGTAGCTGGTAGGATGACGAAATGGATATGAAGATTTATATTCAAACTTGGATTTTCAGTCTGTCGTTCGAGCCGAGGTTAGTGCTGTAGGTTGTACTGTTTCTAAGCTTTTGTAGTGATGTCTTTCATGTGCAGAACTTTCCTTGTTATGGAGTGGAATGACATAAAATCCTGAAGTTGAATTCAGGTGAGTTGGTGATGTTGTTTGACCCTTCTCTCTTCTTAATTTTTATTTCAGTTCATTGTTTTGTTTAATTAATCTGAAACATGTGACAGAGGATTCTTGCCTCGCGGCAGGTTCGAAATGAGTTGGAAAAGTGCGTGATAAAATGATCTATGAACTCCTTATGCATTAGTATGAAGGTTTCTGAGATCTGCACTGAACGTTCCATGAATGATTACTGTTTTCGTGTGAACGTTTTGAGAAAATGAAGCCATTTGTTTTTCCTATTTCTGATTCCACCGTTGAGCTTTTTGCAATTTTTTAATTTGAAGTGCTTTCTTACGGAAATTTGTATGTATGCTCATGAATTCAGGTGAAGCAAGCTGATGAGTCGGAAAAAATTCTAGCCAAAAGAATTTACGTTTGTTGTCAATAAGGGTGGAAACAGTTTAAGTGCTTTGAAGAAAAGAAGTTTTTTTTGGACAGAACTAAGTTTTTCAGAGTTTTACGTGTGTGCTCTAAATGGGCTGTAAGATTTCTTAGTCACAATTCATCTTGATCTTGTTGCTGTTAATGATGAATACAGTGGTTCTCTCATTTGTATTGAGAGACTTCCGTTGTAAGATGCATGTAATGTAGAGATTTTTTTTGTACTTCTAGTGTGTCGTTCAGCAGGTCAGTCGTGTATACTTGCTGGAGGTCGTTCACCTTTTGCTATTAAGTTGTTTGTGTGGTGACAACTTAAAATTGGCTCTGGCAGTGTTACTCCGCTACTAAAGCTAAGCGGTAGCTGTTACTGACTGTCAATTCGCCTGAATTGTGGACTTTCCTCTGTAAATTGCATTGTCTGATAGCATTTTCAAAGATGGATCTCTTGAGCAGCTGTCCCAGTTTTCAACATTACGTTGTGTTGGTCATTTATAACAAGCAGAAATGTGTATGAACAGACACATATTCTACCACTAGAACCGGGGGTACGAAGATGATTTACATTTCAGATGAAATTCCATTATGTACTTGCGACGAAGTGTAGTACATGCTGTAGTACCACCTCATATACTAGAGCCAGGTGTTCAGAATTTAACACGTGCAACCATATATTGAAACGAAACCTGACTAGTTTATATCCGTCTTCGAATTGTGATGCACAGTGCTTTCCTTAGAGAATGTCTTAAAGGGTGATGTTGAGGTTGGTATCCTATTTGTGCTTCATAGATATCCAGTGCTTACTAACTACTTTCTACTACGCGTGCCTCTGATTTCTTTAATATTTTTTCCGCGTGGTTTTTCTCTTCCTCGTGCACATCACCGAAGCTCTTCCCTCGAGCAGCATGCAGTAGTTAGCCATGCAAGATTCATTCTCTTGGTACTTACATGCTTTAGCATTGATTGGTTCAGTATTCTAGCTGTAGGGTATACCTATCCAGTTATTATTTCAGAGAATCATTGTTTGTATGTCTCTTTTGTATCTCTCGAATATCTCTTTTGGATTCTAAAAAGTCATCTTTTTGGAAGGTGTGGGGAAATCCTCTCATTTCAAAGTACTTTCCCAGCAACATGAAGAGATGATATGAATATTGGGTACAGTTGAAATATCGACAAGAGAGACTCGTTCTTTGTATGGAATGTAAGAGCCCCTATAGTTAAAATTAGAGAGCAAATACACTTACATCAGCTCACTACGTGGGAGGCCCATAGGTTGGCCCACTTCCATTTGCTTGCAGATTCAGGTGGGGCAGTTCTCAGCTGCATTCAAGAGCGCATTTCACATCTTTGAAAGGGAAGTAGCACATACACAATGTGTGTTACAACAAAGCCATCTCAAGAGTTGTTGGTGAGGATCCTTGAAAACCTCGTGTAAACTACATTTATGTCTTTGTAATGCACTGGCTCACGTACAGTGCGTCTGAAGCAAATCCGCATGGGGTGCTGGAAAAATATCGTGAACAGTATCAACCCTGACTCGAAGCATTACTGAGACTACGACAAGCATGGTAGAAAAACTGGGTTGTCAAAACACTGAAATCCTGTGACTAAAAGAAAGCTAAGTCAAGATACTAGAGATCCTGTGACTCTAACAAACTGATGAGCTATGCCTAGATATTGTTTGTTAGCCGCCATATGAAAACCGGAAAAGCCCTGATACCTTGATCCTTGAAAGCTTGGCAACAACTTTACTGCTGAACGGGTACCCAAATTAAGTCGTTCTGGGAAGTCCAATGACAAGCTTCAGCGCCACGGGGTATTTTGAGAGCTGCAAACGCAGGATGCTCCGAGCCCCACATGGTTGTATTCAAATGGCACACAGCTACACCACGAATGATGTAACCATCAGCAGCTGCTAGAGATGCTTCCACTACTTTCGTACCTGTGACGTGGTGGCAGTAGTACAATTGAGAAGGGAACATCAAATTGTGGCACACGACTATTTTCTTTCCCTCTTCAACTGAGTGCTTCGTGAAGTCTTTCACTATTAGTGGTTTCTTCTGCGCCGGTGCATTCCCTGGAGCTCCCCTAGTTTTAAGCATCGTCGCATTCCTTCCCAACTGAGAAGAAACGAACTTGGCCATGCTCTCTACTGAGGCTGGGCACGCTCTTTCTTCACCCGGAAGAGGAGGATTCTCGCAGAGGTATGCGGCTGTGCCCATGATGGTAGCCATCTTGGTGTTCTCACCAATATTGAAAGTCTGCCTTAGCTTCGGCAAGTTGGATGTGGTAACAGGGGTAAGTGTGTCTGCCACCGCCTTCGGAAGAAACGATCTTTTTGGAATAGGATCATGAAGATTTTCGGCGAGGTTCATTGACGCTCCCTTCGCAAGGTTCTCTTCCAAAAAGAAATCAAACTGAAAGTCGTTGATAGTTTTAATGCCCATGGTGCGACCTGGACTTCCTCGTGCCAAGGGTACAACATTTAGAGTGCCAACTGGTTCACTATTGTAGGGTGTAATGTTTACGTCCTCCACACAAATGAATCCTGCGGCTCTACAGAAAGATGCTGTGCTAGGTGGAAATATCGCACCGCGAGTAACAGTTGAGATGAAGCGTTTCTCTTCAACGCTTCGGCGAAGTGGAGATACAGAACCACGAAAATGATTTGGTATGTTAACCGTAGGCGAATTCTCTTCCCAGTGTCTGAAAGCAGGAGGGTTTGAAGCTTTGATTGCAGCCTCAGTTAAAACCTGCCAAGAGCAAATACAAAACACAGTCAGGACTTGTTTCAAGTGATTCCAATGACCCATGGTTATAGCTTTCGATGAGATATTGCAATGACAATGACTATACGTTCTACAATTGTAATGCGTGGTCAACGTAGATGTGCTAAAATTTCAGGTCACCGAATTCAAGAAAGGGATCATCAGAGCTTCGAACACAACATAAAAAGTTCGGTTCTCACCAAGACTCCGAGATAATACACCAAGAAGGAGGTCCAGTATCCAGCCATTGGAGCTCGGCTGATACTACTGAACTATCCAAGCCTCAATTCTGAGAGCATGGCTGCTAATCTAACAACCAGTTGGTCAGGCTCCTTATCACCTTGTAGAGCATGAAAAGTTGAGGGAATGCAGCCCAGTGGATGACTTGGATACAGTGGACTCCATTATACTTCCCTAGTGCCACCCAAAAAGTGGGCCAGCATTCATCGAGTACCTGCATTTCAGGTACAGCTCCGATCATCAGATTCATGCGCCAGTCGTTTTGGCCATAATGAAACACATTAATCACTATGGATCAGTTTGTACGCCAGTAAACCAGGGTCTTTGTTGCTTGACACAGCACCGAGCTTTGTGCTTGAGAGTGAAACTCTATTTGCCGGTAGCTATCATTTGGTGAAGAGGTTGTGACAAAGGTGGCGTCACCAGCAGTAGTCTAGACAAATTCCCTCTCATACTGACAAGCAAGCTGCCTGGATATGGTGGAATCCAACTGGGGCACGAGCATTATGCAATGATTTTCTGAAAAATCATGCGTTTCGAGCTGGAAGCGGGTACATGGGAAATGGAAGGTTACAGCAACATCTGGATGTGGAAGGACCGCAGCCGTGGATCGACATTTGGTGCATAGATTTGGCACACTGGGGGATCTTTACGTGCTAACGTGGATTTCTTTTCATCCTTGAAATCCAGGAAGGGTTGCGCCTCGATGACCAGGACATTCATAAATGTGGATTCATATTCATTTCAAAGATGTACCTCACTCTCAAGTGCTAATTTTTGTTTTTTTAATAGACTCGTGGAATTCCAGTACGATGGTCTGTACTCATCCAGATTAAAAGCTACTTGAAAAATGCAAACAATGTGGTTCTTCTACATGCATGTAAGTTACAGAACAGTAATCTCGTGTTACATCGCTGTGAATCCGTTTCACACTCAGACTTTCACATTTGTTTCCTTAGCTACATTAACCTTCAACAGTCGTTAATTCATCCTGAAGCGTGAGAGACAGGGCTCCTAATTCGGCCATAGAGGAGGTTTTGTTGGTTACCACAGACTCATGTGTAACGATCCCATTGAAGGAAACTATAACCGTCAAAATAAAGTTCTATATCGTGTTTCCTCAGATGCAGCCCGAAGTTGAAACCTTTTCATGTAGAGCACAGCCTTGAGTATGCATTGTGAAGTCCTCTCAAATTCCAACAGAAACGTAGAATTGGCTTCGGGGGAGGAGAAGGTGGCAGGCTGCGCAACCAGATTGCTCTAGTACAGCTCTGCAATCTGCATGTGGAATTTTGGAAGGAATCAGTTTCGGACGAAAGTGGGCAATGAGAATTGTCGTCAGTACCGCATTGTAGGAGTTGAGACGGCGGCTGTAGATGATAATCCTTTGTATACTTTTTTGTCAAATTCCTGAACCACTCTAAATTATCCTTTGGCCCAAGGTACTTGTATCTAACGAGATTCAACAGCCAGCATGAAAACAAGGTCTCTATGGCTGACCTGTGGCTTGAATCATTTGGGGCAGGCTCATAATGTGGGTTCACGCACTCAAATGATCAAATCTTGAGGTTATATGCAGTGTTATGTTATGAAAATATTGGGATGTTGAAGGATAGATATTCACATTAGTCACTAAAATTTTCATGTATATATATACATATATATATATATATATGTGTGTGTGTGTGCATATATATATTTTAAGAAGTCTTAGCAAGATTTTGGAGTGATTTGACAAAAAAAAGATTTTTTTATATTTATGGTTTGTTCATGGCAAGAACCTACTATATTATTCCTTGAGCACATTATTGATAAAATCTAGTATATTTGGTAGGGCATGGCAAGCAACAAAGTTTACTTGTACATCATGAAATATTTTTGAAAGTGTATGGTTGTCAAAAGAAGGGATCTGCAATCTAATTCTAAGCTTTCTAATTCTGAGCTTTGTAGTAATAGGCAGCAAATCTAGAAAGCTAACCTCTAATTGTAAGTTGCAAGTTGGACACCTAAAATTACCAATTGGAGGTAGTGGGCCACCTCAAGCCCCAAATCTAAGATGACTTTCAACAATAGACAACATCCACTTTTTAATGATAGAGAATCTATTTTTGACCTTTTAAAAAAAAACCCACCACAACATTATTATTATTTTTTTATTGTTTACTTTTTCTATTTTTATTATGTATTTTAGTTTTTATTATATTTTATAATTCTTTAACTATCCATATATATAATATTAATATAAATACTAATAAAATAATTTATATTTAAAATTAAAAAATTAAAAAATATCATTAAAATATTTTTAAAAATCTAAGTACAAATTATTTATTATTAATAAGAAAGTATTATAAATGATAGGTATAAGGTAGCTAGTAGAAACAAATATCTATAATTTTTATTAGTTATATATAATTTTAATATTAGAAATATATTTGGCTTAAATAAATTGATTTTATTACTTTTTAAATCTTAAATTTATTAGTAATATATATACTGATGTATGTTCAATATACATAATGAATTATTTTTCATTAACTAATAAAAAAAATATTTTATGTAAATTTTAAAATAATATGTTAGAATTACAATTATCTATCAATTTTATTTAAATAGTTTTTTTTATTGATTTTATATATTTCGACAATCTTAAACTTTAATTTTTTTAATTTTTTTAATTTTTTTATCAATTATTAGTTGTGCTATTTCGACAATCTTAAATTTTTAATTTTTTTTATCGATATATTAAAAGTAATTAATTTTTAATAATTTTATAAATATTAAAAAATTAAAAATATCAATTTTAAATATATTTTTTGATATTTAAAATTTTAAAATAATTAAAATAAATTTTGATAGCCTTTATATTTAATATAATAATAGAAAGCTATAGATGTGAGTTCATTTGTTATTTGACCACATTGTAGTTTAGGATTTGACCATTTGTTATGATGAAGTAGAGATGCTTTTAGAACTTGTCAATATATAGTGCACCAAAAAAGTATATTGTATGTAAATTCTATATTTTATATTACTTAGATTTTCTGATGATTCTCTTTGTAGATAAAAGTAATTTTATTAATTGCAAAAAATTTAGAATTTCAAAAAACATCCAAGACACCACCAAATACTTAAGTTTTGAATCTTAATTCATTTAAAATTCATGTATTATTATAATTATAATTTTTATTATTTAGTAATGCCACTTCAATGCTCAAATGACCTCTGCTCCAAAAAGTGAGCATGCCAATGAACTCCATGGACCTCTCCCACATAAAATTGACTCAAAAATAATCAAATTTGGACTCCATATGCACTTAGAGTGGCCTTCCAATCTTGACTCAAGAGTTCTAGATAATGTGTTTTTTTTTTTTTTATAATTTGATTCGTTTTTTATTTATGCCTATAGCCGTGCAATGAGTTATATGACCTCGAACCTATAACCGTGGTATTATTATTGTACAAGTGCGTATGAACGTGATGGTCCCTTCACCCTTGAGGCCTTATCACCATGGATTTCATAACCTCCTATAGTCGTGGAATCTATTACTGTGGATTGACGGACAACCGCAGAGGGGGACGCCGCGCACCACCATCCGTCGTCGCTAGTTGCTGCTCATCGTCACGGATCCACTTTGGTTTGTCTCACGCAATTGTGCACGCAGTTGTAACTGATCTCAATCGTGCACTCAATCAGAGGCTGATCTGCATCGCAATGCAATCGTAGCGCACAAAAAAAATTGGACGTCATGTGAACAATGCCTTGTGCCGCACCGCACCTTGTACAACACTCAAAACAATAAAAAGAAATAACCGCAGCCTGGTGCCCCACTCCACACCGCTGCAGCCCGTTCTCCTGCCGCAACCCTCAACAAGCTTTAGCAACCGCGCCTCTTTTGCGCCGACAAGCTCCCGCACCGTAACCTGCCCCGATGAGCTCCAGCTGGCCCAGCTCCGTCGTAGCAGCAGCAACAAAGAGCTGCGCGCCTAAGCCCTCCTTGCAGCTTCGCCTCGCCGCCGAGCTCACTGCCGAGCTCACCGCCAAACCCTCTCGAGCCTCACCCGCTGCGGTCCCTCCCTCTTGCAGCATCCAATACTCCTGTGCTCCGTACTGCCCAGTATCCGTCACAACTAATATGGTTGTACACAGCAATGCGGCAGTACAACCCAGCTGGGTTCCGGCGCCTAGCACAGTAAGTGCCCAGAAACAAAACAAACCCAAATTGCAATTATTTATTTATTTATTTATTTCTTCATTCTAACTTATACCACAAATTGAAGAAAAAGAGAGATTCTTGTCAAGTGAAAGATTAGAAATCTACACAAAATTAAGTCAAACTATCTCTCATACAACAAAAGAGGAATCCAAAAGTGTAAGTATCAAAATAAGAGAAATCCTAAAGCTTTACTAAAATGGCTAAAAACACCATAGCAAAGCAAACCCTTATAATAAGTGCTTTGACTATCAAAATCACTCACAAGACTTGATTTGACAAGGATGTCAAGTCAAGGGTTTTTTTCCACTTAAGTACTCAAATCCTAATAGACATGAATAAGTCAACTAACAAAAAAACTATCAATGGATGAAAAACCACTAACTAAGCTAAATTACATACATCTAATGGGATTTGGCACCCAATGCCATGTCACATGACAAGATGCAATTAAATGAAGCTCAAAAACAACAAAAGATCAATGTGAATGTCTATCGTAAGGAATAATTACAATTCAATGTGGATGACAAGATATGATTATTTTGTTACAATATTAAGACTACTTGTTCTTTTGACAAGTTGGACTATCATAGGCTTAGATTTTTTTTTTTTTTTTTTTTTTTTTTAAATTTATTTTGTGAATAAATTAATCTTGTTGCTTATCAATTACATCTATTGAAATCTTTGAAGATCCATTCCATATTCCACATATCTCTTCTTGAGCCATATAAGACAATGAATATTTTGAGAAGAAGACAAATACCACCTCTTTCTATAGAAGTAGATAATAATCAAGAATTTGAGATAGAAGAAGTATTAGATTTAAGGTGATGTTGAAATAGATTAAAATATATTTTTTCATTGGTGCAAATATAATATTAGTAAATACACATAGAAGCCAATAAAGAATCTTACAAATGCAACAAAGAAGGTTGAAATTTTTGATCAATGACACCGATCAAAAAAAAGTTGAAGAATAGTAAA